CTGTCTGTAGATTTCTTAATTAATTTGATTTGGTTTTATAAGATATTAAAGAAGTGTTGGCTAGATGTAAAATGGCATAAATCAAAGCAATAACGAGTTTGTTTTCAGTTAATCGTAATATTGAACCAGGCGTTTGACTACGGTGATTATTGTATAGATCAGGCAAGCAAACTAAAGATATACCTCAACTAATTGTAAGATGTCCATTAATTAATAATCATTGTAAAGATTTTTTAATTAACAAGAGACAAGCATATTACAAAAAATGAATATTTGTATCGACCTGCAAAACAGTTAACGTTCCACCATCTTGGGGCGCTAGCTACCACCGACAATACAATTTCTTAAGAGTTATTTCCCTTTGTACTGTTGAAAATATACTGATTCTTTCTCACATCTTTTCCAAATCAAAGGTATGACGGAACTTATTATTACATCTTCCAGGGAAATGTTTGAGATATATTTTACTAGAACAAAACAGCAATATGTTATCAGCTTCAATAAGGTAAACTAATGGTGTGTTCTAATCAGCTAGAATGCTAAAAATGCGAGTGTGGTCGACGATATAAATCGTTATCACCTTGTAGCTAAATTATAGCAATTACGGATGACTGTACCACTGTCAAAATTGTAACTAAGTATTAGAAATTGATTTATTCGGAATGACCATTACTTTACTAACTTCGTTCTGAAATCGAAACCCTACCTTGAGGGATTTTTTTGAGAAAAGTAAAGAGATAACATAGCCAGATAATAATCTACAATGGTGTTATGAGTGTAACGTTTAGCGGGGGGAGAACGCGATTCCAAACCTGTATTTCTAATTGTTATAATATCGCTGTAGCCGATTAAGCTACCTGGTCCATGGAAGTACGAGTGTCCAACTGTGCTACAGTTATATCGAAACGGAAGGTAAGGGGAGGTTACTGTATATAGGAAAAAACACAGGGTTATGGGACAGGGATCCAAAAATCCAACAAACTATTAAAGCGTAATGTCACTTACATTACAGAATCAATTTTGTTAACTTAGTATTTTTTAAATAACATCTGCAGATTTCACCCTTAATTTAATCGTTTATCAAATATTTAACATTTATATTTCCTGTATTGTTTTCAATGGATTGAAACGGATGTTTTTAACATATTGTAGAATATGGATTATGTTTGAACGGAACAGGGTTGCATGCCATCATAAATGATAAAACAACAAGCGTTATAACAACATATTAACGTTCTTGATGTTTGTTCTGTACATGAATCTATCAACTGAAAACAACTGCCATTTGACTATGAATGCACTATGAATACGACAATTCTCGTGCAACCAGTCAGCTGATTTCAAATACAATGGCCACTTCATATTACTACACATAGTACCGTTTTTGAGAATAGTTATCTCCCCTTCCCCGTAGTTGCTAGAAATAATAATAAACCATAGTAATACTATCATTATTCTTTCTAATTTAAAACTTAATAAATTACTTACAGCATTGTCATATTAAATACTGACTTCCGACTCGCAATCGGTTCCCCATGGTCACGAACTGTCTAGGCTAACACCCAAACATCCGGCTGGGTAATCCCCGTGACATCAACTTGCACATTAAACTCAGAGAACTTTGTAATGACACATGGCACTTCATCCACCAACGTATTTACATCATTCAACGGCTGTACATTCAATTTCAAATGATCACTATGCCTACTCCCGTCGGGTGCTCGGCCGACGAGTGTCCTGGATAGTTACTATGGTGACCGATGATTCGATATAGTGCTGACATAAACTTTTTAGAATATATAATATGCGGTGCTTAATGCAGAAAAAACCCATAAAATAAGACCATCTTTCAAAAATGAAAGGAATATCAAGTGTTGGTTATTATTAGATTCCCTATATATATTTTCGTTTCAACATAGTCAGCTGATCTGCGGAAGTGGAACATTTGAAGTTTGTGTGTAGGCTGGAGTTCTGGCTGGACCTTTTTTTTATGGTTTTCTGACCGATACTAATATTACAAATATCAAATCTACAAAAAGTGTCTTAATTTTTTTTTTATTGTTCATGTAGTTCGTCGTAACGTAAATACATATCATGTCATGAGTTGCCCCTTATCATTTTAACACTATCAAAGAGAGACCAACAACAGTTTCCGATTGCAAACAAATAACGTGTAATGTTTGTTGTTGTTATTGGTTGATATCAACATTTATTAGGTAGATTTATTAAGGATTGTACCACGGAATTGTATATATTTCCTGTTGACAAATAAACTGCATATACAGGGTTTCCTACTGAAAAGGCTTCATTCTACGCTGAGGAGAAATGTTACGTTTATCAAAATCATCTAAATTTGATATACAGAAAGAATTGCACCTTGAGAATATGACACAGTAACTTGTCATTTTTTTGTATAGACTACGAAAGACAATAATACATAACCATGTCTCGTGATGTTGATGAGAGCTAACCAGAGATGTCATTTAGCTGTCAGAAGTGCAGATCAGAAACGTTAAAGAGTTTACAAAATCTACGTAGTCAAGTGAATCTGACGAAGGGCTAAACAGGAGAATTTAAACAGGTACTTAACATATTAATTGATCTCATAATTCTAATAGGGGCTAACTGGAGATGTCAATGAAATATTGTTTACCGGAACCTTTCGCCCTAAAAATGTCCCGCCCTTCGCACATTACAATCCATATTAATCAAGTGTTAATTTCGCCCTTCATATCTCATTTATATACATATGATATTGTTTTTCTTATATTCGATGTGATGATTATTTTGCCCTCAATACAGAGGGTGAAGAGTTGCATTGCAGTAAAGATGACCCAGTCACATCATGTTGACAATGAGCTTACTAGTAATGCCAAGACTGTATTGTACCAAAGTAACCAATGTTACCAATTGGATTCGTTCATCTCTGTAGTTTGGCACAGTCAGATTTCCCGCTGTAGCCCAATCTCCTTCATGTAACCTGGTAACGCAGCTTTGAATATGAAAAACAAACACGACAAACAAATATTGACAAAATAGGATCATGATTTGCAGGAGTTACCAATTCAGAATAATTAGTGATGTATTACTGTACGTATTCTTTTGATGAAAGCTTGCACAGGTGTAATTGGCCAATGGTTGTAGTGTGCTTTTCATAGGTTAGCGTTTCAGCTGTATTTTTTCCCCATTAATTTCCCTAGGGTGGACACCTTTTGCAAGCCATGTCATCACTCAGTATAACAGCTGGGCAAGACGTTTGCTTGTGATGTCAAAATAAATTGTATTTCATGTTAAATGGAACATGACAATATCCGTTAATTAGGCCACATAATAGAGCCAATGCTACGTATTGTCAGTTGTACTTGTAGCTGATGAAGTATTTAGTTCATCAGAGTCCTGTGGCAGATTGTATTTTAAATGTTCTCACATAAAAAAACAAGTTCGCCCATCCTATGATATGATATAAAAAAACTCCATTCCAAATGTTTGATGACCATTTTACCCAATTTCAATTTTCAACTTCACAACGCTTTTGTACATTTATCGTAATTATCAAGAAAAAGAATTCCTATTCAGCTAATTTCCAAAGGCATGATAAGATGAAATTTGAATTGTTTTCTTCTAACTAAATTTGTTGTTAACAAACCGATCCAATAGCTTTTCCTATAAGTGTTCCGTCTTTGCGTATTGCAGAGTTATCTTCTCTTTTGAGCAGGGATTGATATTTACGTCATTGGTTTGTGAGATTAACGTCATCAATTTTTGAGAAAACGACGTAATTTTCTCACACAAACCAATGACGTAACAATCAATACCTGCTAACCAGAGAAGATAACTCTGCAATACGCAAAGACGGAATAGCAGATACAAGACATTTCTCTGGAACCGTTAAAAAAATATGTATCCGACTTGTATATGACTTGTTCATCTGTACTTTAATATTACCAACCTCATCTCAAGGTTTCCAGCTCTGATGTAGCTTTTTAACTTGCGTTTGCAAAGCCAATACAAGATTACATACCTAAATGTGTTCGTAGGACTGAGACTCGCCAGGTATACACTAATGACCTTCACGGGTACCGTAACCTTTCAGACTCGTGACCTCAGAAGCGAGTCATGGACAACTGGTAAGCGGTACAACCCCCTCCCCCC